ATAACATTTCTTGTTGATCAAACCACCGTGGACACCTTCTTTGCCCATCAGCAGGACTAGCGCTGGAGGAAAAAGAAAGGAGGCTAGGACCCAGGTGTCACAATTCAACCCTGCCAGCTGTTGAGCAGCTGTCCAGCCCTGGGGGCTGTAACCTAACCTCATTCCTCCCAACCAGCTACCCCCCCACACACAGGCAAGCTGTCAGTCAACCTAAAACAATAGAGCTTTTCAAAGGAGGAAAAAAATTCAGCTTAAAGACTAGTGAAGAAAAGGCAAAATTAGAGGTCACAGGCTGTAAGCTGCTGTGGATGAGCTTCCTGCCTCTCAGGCTTTTACAGAACTCCAAGACCAGAGCCAATGCTGACTTAGGATCCCAACAGTCTATACCAAGTGAGCTAATCTCTAAGCTTAAGGCAGGAAGGGATTTAAAAGGTAAGGTAACTCTTTTTTTTTTTACAAGATGGGGAGCCATAGGCAGAGCCCAAGGGCTCTCCAAGGCTCCCACATCCAGCAGACTCCGAGAAAACCCTGTCTGCGACCTTCTCACTGAGGGACCACAGAAAACCCCAAACGACTAACAAAAAAGGAGATACATGAGGGGTGCCAAAGACCTGGTTAGCACAGAAACTCACTCTTGGCAGTCATGGTGACAGTGACATTGAAGGTGGGGGCTCCTCCGGTGCTCTTGGTACGAAGATCCATTGTAAATTCCCCATCCTGCAGCAGTGAGTCCCGGATCACAGAACATTTCTGGCCCCCAAGTGTCAACCCATTCACGAAAAAACTTGACCGGTCTTTGCCTACCAGGACACCAACCTCAGCTGGCTGCAAGAGTCAAAATCAATCATCGCATTAAGTTAGTGCACCGGCTAATTTGTTTCCCAAGAAGCCACTATTTATCCTGGAGTTGGGGGTGAATGTGCTTCATACACACCACCAAAAATGGAGTGGGGTGTGTGTGTGCAGAGAAAACCCATGGGACCAGGGAAAGAAAGAATACTATTCCTCTTAAGTAGCTAGACCTTAATGTTAAATGGGGAAAGCAAAAGGAAAAAAACCCTGGGTACCAAAATTCAATCAATGATCCAGGGGGAGCCTTTGGATGCTCAGAACAGTCCTTCAGGAAAAGCAGAAGCGGAGAGGGTGAGGGAGGGGGCAGGGAAGGAGGAGAAGCAACTTTGTCCTTATTTGGTCAAAGGTTCTGCAGGCGTTGTTAGGAGCCCGGACGCCTGGGTCTCCCGGTAACCTAGCATTTAGGTCCAGGTGTCTACGCCCCAAGATGAGGAAGCCGACCCCTGGGGGCTTTCTTGGAAAGTTGAAAAAGTTTTAAGGGTCGGGGGACCAGGCTGTCTTGAGTCTAGACATCCCGGGGAACCTTTCTTTTTCTGCCCCCCTCAAACCCCAAACCCCTACATCCGGTACCCTCCCGCCCGGAAATCCCCTTCCCCCCCATTAGAACTTCCGCTCCCCCTCCCCACTTCCGGGCAGTGTGATCAGGGAAGGTGGTGGTGGGGACAGCAGCAACCTTATTCCTTCACTTTACGGTGTCAGAACTTCTCACAAAGTTCCCCTGCTCCAGGCCCGGCCGGATGGCGGGAAGGGAGGGTGAGGGGACTTCCGGGACTGGCCTCACAGGAATGTTGAGGCTAACGTGCCGAATTGGGGGTGTGTGTGTGGCGGCCTCGCCCTCTCTAACGGAGTTGGGAGGGGCAGGGAGCTCACGGAGGTCGGGCCAGGGCTCAAGGCCACGCGCCTGGAGCTCCCACCAGCACAAGGGGAGACAATGGTGGAGGGAGCGCGAGCGGGCGGCCCAAAGTGGAGTCGAGGCTCCCCGAGCCCACTTATCAATCATAATCCCAGGCTAAAATTGCAGCGCGTGCCTGCCCCGCCCTGGAGGAGGCGGAAGTGGGCCGCCGCACCGGGCGGCGCGCCCCTCCCCGCCCTGTGCCCCGGATGTAACGCCCCGTCGCAGAAAGCGGGGTGGCGGGCGGGATGGGCGCCGCCGCCGAGGGGCGTAGGGCTTGGGGGGCAACAGAGAGACCTAGATTCATGCAGCCGCCATTCGCGCCGCTTCCAGGCAGAGGACCAGATCACGGCCTCCCGCTGCCTTCGCTAGGCTGCGCCCGCCCCCACCCAAGTCTCTCCCTGAGGGTCTAAGCCCAGCCATTGCCCGGGACCGCACAAGCCCCTAAGTACCGTAATGCTAACGAAGGTCTTCCCGGGGACGGCGGCCCAGACGGAGGGCGAGTCCTTGTAGCCTACGATGGCCGCGTCCTGACAGGTCCCGTCCGCCATGAGGCTGTCGATGTAGGCGTTCCACCCGGCCATGGCGCTGCTGCTGGGGCTGCTCTGCGTGCTGCTGCTGGGGCCGCGGGCTGGGCTCGGGCTGGCGGGCGGGGGGAGGCAGAGAGCTCGGGGCACGCGCTGCCGTCCGGAACGCGGCTCTGTTAGCTGTGCAGCAGCCCTCGCACCGCCACTTCCTGCTCCTCCCCCCCCCCCCTAGATTTTTATTTGCAAAGGGCGGCGGGGCGGGGCCTGCTCCCCATTCCCTCCCTCCTCCCCCCTCCCCTTGCCTGGCCAGATAGCGAACTTTTGCAAATGCAATTTTAAAAAGCCCTCCCCCCCTTTTGCAAAATTTGCCGAGTTCGATGAAAAGCCGTGCAAAAGGCTAGAGTGGCGGTGGCAGGAGCGAGGTTAAGGTTAAAGCTCGCTCCGACTCATGTTGAATACAAACCCCTTTGGCATTAAAAGGGGGAAGCCGGGAGAGAAAAAGGAAGAAAATTAGTAAGATTGAGCAAATTAAAGTGGGTGCGGGGAGCCCAGGGTTAAACGGAATGATTCTCTCTCTCTCACACACACACACCCCCACCTCCGCGGGAGGGAAGGAACGGCGGGCGGCGGCGGCGCGTGCGCCCGCGCCTGCGCCGGGGCAGTGAGAAGACAGCGCGTGGGGCGGTTGGGGCTAGCGGCTGGCTGCGCGAGCGCGCGCCTGGCAGCGCCGATTTGGACCTTCCTGGGAGGGAAGACGCGTCCCCACTAGGCGGAGCGGGCAGAGGCCCTGGCTTGTGCGCTGCCGCCTTCTCCACTTTGAATTTTTATTTAGACGATAAGGGAGCAAAACTAAATTTGATCCAGTGCTCTGGTCATTTCCCTTGGTAAAGGTCCCCAACTAGGGCACCTGTCCCAGCCGTGTGCCGGGGACGCACATGTTGGACTCATTCGAGTGCATCCCTGTATTCCAGGGGAATCTTCCTTCGCTGGATCCGCTCCAGCTCAGAGCCTCGCCCTACTCCTGAACCCTCTCTACAGAGGTCACTGAACCGGGGCGCCAGCCGGGTAACATGGGAGGGACTCTTTTCAAGGCGGAAGAATACCAAAGCACCAAGGATAGCAACTTTTACAAGAAGGGGAAAAGTCCCTTCTACTTTGGGCCCATTGGGCTTTTTTTTTCCCCCGTAAAACTTTTGCTAGGTACTTGTGTGCATTCAGCTCACTAGCCGGCCAGCAGGGCTGGGGCGGACAACAGCAGGCCGGTGAGGCTGGCGGGGAGTAAATGAGTCACTCGGGACCCTTGCCGCCGAGGGGCTCGGCCGCTTCCGGTCCCTCGGAGGAGGGGCGCCAGGGTTTGCAGTGCCTCCCGGCGTAAGGACTCCTCCAGACTCTGGAGTCCTGTTAGGCTCCCTGATGCCCACTCCAAAATCCTGGCTTCCCCCCGTCCCCCGAGCCCAGGTTCTTCGACAGCCGCGTGGCTGAGTCACGGGCGGGGCTGCGCTGGGGCACGCGGCGGCGCTCTACGCCCGCCATCCCCTGACCTCTGGCCCGTGAGCCTCCTGCCCCGGGGTGGAAAAGTCCCGCAGGGAGCGGCAGGAGATAAGGGGGGGCGGGACTGGGACGCGACGGCAGGTGGGGACCCTTGGGTGGAGGCAGGCGAGGAGGACGACCCCGAGGGGAGGGCCGACGGGGAGGAGCGCTCGAGAGCGGGCCGGCGAGTGAGTCACTCGCTCCAGCGCAGGCAAGTGAGAAGCCGAGGCGCCTCAGGACACCAGCCGGTCGGCCTGCCAGGCTTGCACGGAGCGCGGGACAGATCCCCCCACACTTGCCCTAGACCCGCCAAAGTGGAGAGTTACCAAGTGCAGAGACTCACTTCCTGCGGTGCTGCAAATGGATGGGCAGAACGGTCGCCAAAATGTCATCCCCTGCGAGCGTCCATTCATGGTTTTTTGCCCCCCACTCGTGATCTAACACCATTCTTTGATAGTCAAGGCTTGAGTACTGACGTGATCACAGTCGGTGGGGCTCCTGAGCACTAGGCTTCACGCTGGACCATAAGTGCTGCCCCCAGCACTATCTGCCGGGCGCCGGGCCAGTGCCGGGCCAGTGCTGGTCTATATTCGTCCCTTGGCCTCTCTCATTGCCCTTCGCTGGCCAAGAGAGGGTAGGGTGGAGTGGTGCCGAAATGGCCGTTATGAGGACCCTGAGAGGTGAAAGCATTCGCCTTCTTTGGCGGAGGGGTGTCAACTTTAGACCACAGCGCTTGCTCAGCATCCCTGATTCCTTCCCCCAACCGTGTGGCCTGCACTGCCTGCCTCCGAGTGAGTGGAGCACGTGTGCATGTCAGTCTTGCAGCCCCTTTTCCAGGCCCCCTCCTCAGCCTGCACGGCTCAGATTACCCCTGGCCTTTCCTAAAGGGCACTAGTTCCTCTTTAACCTTTGCAAAGGGGCAATGTGAGGTTAAGAAGGGGACAGACCCGCCTATCAGAAGCCCCTCTCCCACTCCTTCAAAGAGTGGACTTCAAGTTGAGACTCTTATTGGGGGCAGAAAGAAAATGTACGGGGTCGTCATTAACTTTTGAGAAGGGGGTACCCAGGCCAGAGGCTTCTGCTGTCGGCAGTAGTGGGCCTTTGGCTGCTGGCCTGGTGTGGAGGGGAGGAGGATGGAATGAGAGAGGCGGGGCTGGCCGGGGGACAGAGTGGCTTGGGGATAAATGCCCAGCCTGAGAAGGGGTGAGCTGACACTGTCCCAGCTGCCACCTAGACGAGAAGCTTCATTCAAAGTCCCAGGGAAGACGTCACAGGTTTGATAAAACTTGAGTTACATGATGTGCAGGTGTGGGGTAGTACTGGCTTGGAAAGGGAGGTAACTTTTGGTGCTTTTCTTCCTCGGACTGGGGTGCTTGAGAGAAAGTGGTCAGGCTGGAGGAAGCAGAGTTGGGGCGAATACTGGAGTACTGACCAATACAGGGAAGGAGGCTCTGACAAATGGGGAAGCAGATAAAGTAGGCAGAATTATGCCAGGCAGAGGATTTGGGAATGGGACAATGAGAAGCAGATAGGGTTGGAGGGCTAGGAAGATGCAGCTGGCAGCTACTTAATCAAAAAAGTGAAAGGAGCCCGCGAAGCATTCAGGGAGGGGTGTCATCTGGGGAGTTATGAAGTTCTCAGCCCTTCATTTTTCAGGCTGGGAGGGTGGAACAAGAGCTGTTCCGAGTGGGGGAGGGTGGGGGAGGGGGCCGGCCCTCCTGCCTCTTTGGTCTGTGACCTTTTTATGGGGTATTTTTAGCTCCAGCACCTGCCTTCTTGGGGTGGGGAAGACTCTTAAAAGGGCAAGGGATTTCTAGTTCCTTAAGGGATCAGCTGTCCACTCTTGCTCACTCACGTCTCTCGTGGTGCAGTCATGGCCATGCAAAAAATCTTTGCCCGAGAAATCCTGGACTCCAGGGGCAACCCCACAGTGGAGGTGGACCTGCACACCGCCAAGGGTAACACAGGCCCGCTGTATTGGTTCACCTCAGAAAACCCCCAACCTCACCTGCTCCTTCCCAAGAAACATCCTATCCTTTGTCAGACTCCCTCACAGACCCTCTTCTCTTCCTGGCCCCAGAGCTGGGGGAGGCGGGAGTTTCTCTTTATTTTCTCCTGTCCCTGGGTCCAGGGGGGTGACCCCAGGCCGTTGTGAATGGACTCCCTCTGCTCTGCCAATCCCTCCTGCCCAGGTCGGTTCAGAGCAGCTGTGCCCAGTGGCGCGTCCACGGGTATCTATGAAGCGCTGGAACTAAGAGATGGAGACAAATCACGCTACCTGGGGAAAGGTGAGTAAAGACCAACTGGAGGAGCCTGTGCGGGCGGATCCAGGAGAGAGGACCCCATATGGGAAGAGGCTAATCCCCTCAGAAATCTGAACCCATTCTCTGGCCTCCAGGAGTGCTGAAGGCTGTGGAGCATATCAACAAGACCCTAGGTCCTGCTCTGCTGGAAAAGGCAAGTAGAGGAACCAGCTCCCCCTTCCCCTCCTCCCTGTGACCCTGTGCCTCACCCCAGGTAGCCCCACTCCCAATATTTTCATCTGTCCTTCATCCTGCACATGATTGGCTCCTGAGAAATTGGACCTCTGCCTCTTCCAGAAACTAAGTGTTGTGGATCAAGAAAAAGTCGACAAATTTATGATTGAGCTGGACGGGACGGAGAATAAGTGTGAGTGGTGGCATGCCCAAGGGTGGAGGAGAGACAGTGACAGCTGGCTGGGCTGTTTCTGTGTCCCATCTTGTATGAGTGGTGGCATGCACAAGGGTGAAAGAGAGACCGATGGCAGCTGGTGGGGTTGCTTCTGTGTCCCTTCTTGGGGCACACCATAGCTGGATAGCCTTTATTCATTCCGCAGGCATTTCCTGATACATGTCTTCTGCCAGGCCTGACTGGCAGTAGACACATATGAAACTGTTGGCCCAGGGAGGCGGGGTGAACGTCCAGAAGTCTGCAGGCCAGGAAAGAGATGAGTTAATGAAATGTTAATGTCCAGTGGTTTCGAAAGCTTCTTCCTGGGGTGACCGGAGGGATTGTTCAAGGAATTAACTGCAAAACTTGTAAGAGTTCTCATCCTTTCTCCCTGTTTGCCTCCCTCTAGCCAAGTTTGGGGCCAATGCCATCCTGGGCGTGTCCTTGGCCGTTTGTAAGGCAGGAGCAGCTGAGAAAGGGGTCCCTCTCTACCGACACATCGCAGATCTTGCGGGAAATCCTGATCTCGTACTTCCTGTACCTGTGAGTGTGGCTGCCCCTTCGGAATCCCTGCTCCAAAAAAGCACTTTCTGAAATGAAATCTCTTGGGCTGTGCTGTGGCCCCTCCTTCTTGATGTTCCCCTCCCTTGCCAGGTCCCTTAGATCCTTCACCTTCCAGGGTCAGGCTAGTGCCTTAGACCTCATTTCATCTTAGTACCCCACTGCACCAGTCAGACTTGAAAGCTCCTTAGAGCAAGGATATCAGCATTTCCGGGCATCCTCTTAGTCTGTAGGAAGTCACTGCCCTCTTAGTAGTAACTCTGAATTTTGTAGGGTACAGAGAAAGCCCTGCATGTATGAAGTCCTGGGTGAATGTATATATTGACGTGAACCAGCTTTGTCAAAGACGCCAGAGCCTCAGACCCAGGAGTGGCAAAGCCTTCCCCCTGGGCTAAAATTCGGAGGCATGGTAAAGCCTGCCTTGGTGATCAGGTGCAAGTGTCCACCATAGCTCCCTCCCCATTGGATGTGTACGATCTGAAGACTGCTCCCCTCCAGAAACTGTTCTGAGATCCCCTAACCCTGTCCCCTTGGCCCAGTTGTATACCATAAGCCCACCTCCTTGTTTATTTGTATGCAATAACACTGCCAAGTCTATATAATGAATGTACTAGCTCTGTATAATAAACACATGAAGCTTCTACGGTGCTGAGGTTTTCCCATCAGAGAGCTCAGTCTGTCCATTTCCCAGCGTTTCTGTCTGTGTGTCCATTGTCTGTCTTTTCTTCATTCCCTTGCTGCCCCAGTCATTTCCATCTTTGGAGGCCCACATGGACTGGGCAGAATTTAATCTCAATAATAATGTTACCATTTATTGTTACTAACTAGGAAGGTTGTGTTAAGAGCATGGGTGGTGGTGGTGCATGTCTGTAATCTCAGCACTCGGGAGGCAGAGACAACAACAACAAAATTAGAGTAAGGACTCTAGAGACATCTTCTGAGTTCAGCCCTAGCCTTGCCCGTTTTCTAGTTGTGTGACCTTAGGCAAATTACTTAACCTTTATGCCTCAGTTTCCTCATCCATAAAGAAGAAATTAATACGAGTTAAGTTACTAGAGATGTTTGAGAGTGAAACAAGCCAGTTTATTTAGAATGCCATAGAATTATTCTGTTACACATCAGGCACATGCTAAGGACTTTATGTTCTATTTCTCCTGAATTTCAGAAGAGTCACAGGGAAGTAGGCATTGTAATTATTTTGTAGAAATGAGGGGAAGGCTCTGAGAAGTACAATTATGCATCCTAAACCACTCAGCTGGTGAGCAGAGTTCAACTGCCACCTCCAGTTCCCTCTCGCCTTCCACCCCTCATGTCACCGGTTCTGAGCACTGTCTCTTGTCTTAGGCCTTCAATGTGATCAATGGGGGCTCTCATGCTGGAAACAAGCTGGCCATGCAGGAGTTCATGATTCTGCCAGTGGGAGCCAGCTCTTTCAAGGAAGCCATGCGCATTGGCGCCGAGGTCTACCACCACCTCAAGGGGGTCATCAAGGCCAAGTATGGGAAGGACGCCACCAATGTGGGGGACGAGGGCGGCTTTGCTCCCAACATCCTGGAGAACAATGAGGGTCAGTGCGAGCATCCTGGGGCATAGACCACCTGGGTCCCCATGAGGAGGGAAGAGAGGCTGCAGATGCAGGGGACATTGAAGTCTCAGGTCATTTCTTGCTCCCCTCCTAGCCCTGGAGCTGCTAAAGACAGCCATTCAGGCAGCTGGTTACCCAGACAAGGTGGTAATTGGCATGGACGTGGCAGCATCTGAATTCTATCGCAATGGGAAGTATGATCTGGACTTCAAGTCACCTGACGATCCTGCACGGCATATCAGTGGGGAGAAGCTTGGAGAGCTGTACAAGAACTTCATCAAGAACTATCCTGGTGAGATTTCCAAGTGCTTTGCTCTGCCTTAGTCCTTTGCAGTTGCCTAACACGGGTTCCGGTATCTGACTCCACTGCAGCCTCCATTTAAGCTCTACTTGTCACCCCTCATCAGATCCCCTCTCTAACCCCAATTATGCTCCCATTTCCCTACCAGTGGTCTCCATTGAAGACCCCTTTGACCAGGATGACTGGGCCACATGGACCTCATTCCTCTCGGGAGTGGACATCCAGATTGTGGGAGATGACCTTACAGTCACCAACCCCAAGAGGATCGCTCAGGCTGTTGAGAAGAAGGCCTGCAATTGCCTGCTACTAAAGGTCAACCAAATTGGCTCAGTGACAGAATCCATCCAGGCGTGAGTGTCTCCTGACTCAGGTTCAGAGTGGTCACCCTAAGCTCCAGCTCACCCACTGCTGTTGTTCTTGCCATAAGTCCACTCTTTCCTGGGAACCTGACTCACCCAAGCACTCTTAACCCCAAGGCTGTGACTAACTCTTGGCTTGTCCTCAAGACCTTTGCCACCGTGGCTGTCATGTCCCTTCACCGTCCTCCCATGCTGTGCTCCTCTTACTAACATCTGACCACTCTAATCCAAGATCAGAAAACTCTCCATCTGCTTCCCAGAGAACTTAGGCACTCTAGTACCCACCACCCGAAACAAAACGAAAGGTCTGCCTTGCCTGCCCCCGGCCTTCTTACTGAGGTCACATTAGACCTCATCAAATGTCCTTCCCACACAGCTGCAAACTGGCACAATCTAATGGCTGGGGGGTGATGGTGAGCCACCGCTCTGGGGAGACTGAAGACACTTTCATTGCTGACCTCGTGGTGGGACTCTGCACAGGACAGGTACTCAGCTTCCCTCTCCTGCATCTCTAACCAACCTTCCTTGGTCACCTTGGTATCACCCTGAGTTGAATACCACTACAGCCTGCTCCTTTGGGGCCCAACCCAACCCCTCCAAATCCCTTTCCCACCTCAGATCAAGACTGGTGCCCCATGTCGTTCAGAGCGTCTGGCCAAATACAACCAGCTTATGAGGTACAGTGGGTAGAGGTCTGGACTGTGGGGAGAGGAAGGCACTCCTAGGTGAGAAGGTAGCAGCTCTGATTTTTGTATTATAGGATTGAAGAGGCTCTTGGAGACAAAGCTGTCTTTGCTGGACGAAAGTTCCGTAATCCAAAGGCCAAATGAGAAGCTGGAGGCTCCAGGACTCCAAAGAACAGACACAGGCCTTCAAGCCCTTCTCCCTGAAATAAACAATGCCAAAAGAGACCATAGCTGCTCCTTGGAAGGAGGGAGGGAAAGGATGACAGGAAGTGGCTAGATGGCGGAGGAAGAGGCAGAGAATGACATGTAACCTGCTGTGACAGGAAGTGAGGGGTTGAAAGCTCAGTGGCTGTCAAAAGAGAAACCCACATTTTGGAATGAAGCTAGAAAAAGCCAATTCTGTGTGTGAGAAGGAGCTGGAGAGGTGTTTCTGGAATGAGGGAACAGCTACTGAGTGGGCAGCGTGGATGGGGAGGGACTGAGGGTCCTGATGCTCCCAGCATGAGCGGGATCTGGAACAGGATGCCGCCAGACGGAGTGCTTTGTGGGGATAAATGGTAATGAGATCATTTGCCACTTCAGTAGAGCTTGAGGATCTGGAAGTGCTCACAACACTTGACACTACTGACCTGCATAAACTTAGGAACAGTCCTATCAGCCATTTGCCATCCTTGTCCCTTTTTCACACGCAAGGAAACCAAGACACAAAGAGTTAATTATTCCTTATTCAACAGAGCAGAGTTAGCAACTCGTAGAGCCAGGACACAAAGTCAGGGCATCTGGCTTCAGCCTTAAAATACTGTATCTTAGCTGGGTGTGGTGGCTCACTCTAATCTCAGGCCTTGGGAGACAGAGCTGGGATAACAAATTTCAAGGAAGCTTGGACTATGTAGTAAGATCCTGTCTCAAAATCCCAAACTTAGGGGTTTAGAGAGATGGCTCAGTGGTTAAGGGCACTTTTGCTCTTATAAGCACCAGGGTTTAGTTCCTAGCACTGACCTAGTGGCTCACAACTATCAGTAACTCCAGTTCTAGAGCTCCAATGCCCTCTTCTGACCACCACAGGCACCAGGCACGCACATGGTGCACATCTTTATGTGTGGGTAAGACACTCATACACATACATTTTAAAAAACTCCACCCCAGCTTAGTGATAAGAATGCTTGCCCAGTATTCACAAGGCCCTGATTCTAGCACCACAAAATATGTAAAAATAAACCTGGAAGTCACAATAACAGTGTTTATATAAGCTATCTTTAGCTTATATAAACAGCAACTTTATACTGTTCGATCTAAAATTACTCTCTTTGCCTATGGACCTAGTATCCAGATTTCTATGTATAAATCAGAACACTGGGTCAAACAGTGTTTATTCAATGTAAAGTAACCCCAGCCCCATGGGGAAGAAAGTTCCAAGGATAATCGAGAGTAATACAGATTAAATACCCACCCACACATTTGCACCACACACACACACACACACACACACACGCACGCACGCACGCACGATCCATACATCCAAGTTGCAGCAGTGATAAACACCTGCTTCTCCTCCAGCCTGAGTGACAGCTGGTAGAACCTCATAGTTTGAAGTGGGGCTCCAGGATGGGTCCTGATAGCAGCAGCCTTGTTCCTCCATGCCCCTGCCTTGCTAGAGGTCAAAGGGAGTTGGGTGCGATGCCTAGGAGGTAGGTGGCAACTCTTCCCCACTCTGCCGCAGACGTTTCTTGGCTCGGATCTCATTCATGGCCTCTTCTATGGAGCGTGTGTCCCGCTTGTTGGCCACAGGCACTGGCAGCAGAGGGGAGAGTGGGCAAGACCTCAGTCTCTGCTCCCCTCCCCCAGCCTTGCTCTCCTCATGCCTCCCTAGCTTGCACCACGGCTCACCACAGCCATAGGTCTTGTTGGCCTGTAGCATGTGGGCTGCATCTTTGGCTGCTCCTTTGCCAATAAGGTGGCTATACTTGTCCTTGTAGTCGCTAGCAGGGCTCACCACCACAGGTCCCTGCTGGGCTGCCTCCTCCTCCTGTTTCTGAGCCAGCTCCTAAGGGCACAGAGATAGGGCACCTGTGCTCAAGGATCTGACCCCAGCTGGCCTCTTTCAGATGACAGATATAGGTTCCAGAGCATAGCTCACCTTTAGCTTCCGTTTCTCCTCGGCCTTCTGGGGATCCCACTCCTCTCCATGACGGTAGGAGTCCAGCTCTTCATCTGAGGGTGCAAACTCCTGGGGATGAAGGGAAGAGTAGAACCAGAGGTCCAAGGATATGTGTGATCTCATTCCTCTCCTCCCTCAGGTAGCAGGGACAGGCTAAGAGGAGAGGCAGGAACCCAGGCTTTTTACCTTTTTGAAGATCATGACATAGCGACAGTCATCGTCTTCTCCAAAGGAGAAGGATGTGAGGCCTGCCACTTCTACTACGTCATGTCTGGGAAGAGAAGGCACAAGACAGTGTGGTGAGCCATGAGGGACCCTGTCCCCTGGCTCCTCCATGTCCCTCCACTGCCCATTTCTTGCCTTCCCAGGCTGAGAGACACTCACAGTATGCTCCTCTCTATCTTGTTCATAGGCTGAAACTTCTTCTTGATCTGTCCACTGTCCTGGATAAAATCAGACACCTCTTTCTCCATCTTAGGAAAAACAAAAGGAGGAGGACATGAGATGATAGCTCCACCCAAAACTCTCCTGGGCCGATGGTCTTTTTAAACCTCCCGCTGCTCTCCCATGCCCCGAGCCACTGGCTGTCTGGAGCACTGTCAATACAACCAAGTCCTCAGTCTTCCAACTCTTACTGCAAGTCCTTCCAGAAGCTGCCTTTGAGCTCTCCAGTTGCTCTCACCCTTTTACGAAACTCCACTTTTTGTTGTTTGTCTTGCTCTTGTAGTTTCTTCAGGCGGGCAGCCTGCTCTAGGGTGAGAAAGGGCAGCATGAGGATAAGGCTGAAGGATAGGTAGCGGTGGTCAGACTTCCAAGAGCACCTGCCAACCACTGGAAAGTGTGCTCGGACAGCAGATACCACTGATTCACCAACTATTCTGATGGTCCCCCCATCACACACCTGACACGGTGCTAAGCCCAGAGTACCAAGATGGCTGCAACAATTTTCCCCTTCCAGGGCTTGTGTGGTGGGAGCTACAAAGATTGGAATCACACACACCCTTCACTTACCAACCCCACAAGAAAGCCAATTAGCAGTCACTAAATGCCCAGAGTACAAAAGAACTATAAGGCGCCTGAGGAACAAGAACGGCATCAGTGTCAGGTTTCTCAACTCATCTACAGACAAGGGGAATTATTTAACTTTATATCTCTATGTACAATTATTATTTTGGAGACATTTCACTATGTAGCCCTGGTTGGCCTAGAACTCACTATGTTTCAGGCTAGCCTTAAAATCAGAGACATCTGCTTGCTTCGGCCTCTGGAGTGCTGAGATTAAAGGCATGCACTCCCACAACCAGCTTTTAACTTCATACATATTAGACAAATTGTAGAGGCAGAATTTCTCTCTATGTAAACCAGACTAGCCTTAAACTCACAGATCAGCCTGCCTCTGCCTCCCAAGAGCCAGGTTTAAAGGTATGTGCCACCACTGCTTGGCAAAATTCCTATATTCTATAGTGCCCTCTCACACACTTCTAGGGCCTGGATGATGCTGAAAGGGCTAATCTGATGCTCTTCTTACCTGTCCTGTTTTTGTTTTCTTTGTCAACTTGTAACAAGGTAGTTATCTGAGAGAAAGTAACCATAATTGAGAACATGCCTCCATAAAACTGGCCTGTAGCTGGACAGTGGTGGCGCACCTTTAATCCCAGCACTTGGGAGGCAGAGGCAGGTGGATCTCTGAGTTCGAGGCCAGCCTGGTCTACAGAGTGAGTTCCAAGATAGGACCAGAGCTACAGAGAAACCCTGTCTCGAAAAACTGAAAACAAAAACAAAACCCTCTTAACAGAGACAGAAACTAGCATCAGAGAGTGGACTACTAGTGTAACGGGCCTGGCTATGGTTTTTTGGGGTTTTTTTGGGGGGGAGGGTGAGGTATGGAGGGACTGTAGAAGAAATTTAGAACTTTGGGTTATAATGTCCATTAAATACTTTCAGTCATGATGGTTTTTTTTTCTTTTCTTTTTTTTAAAGATTTATTTATTTTGTTTACAGTGTTCTGTCTGCATGTGTCCCTGCAGGCCAGAAGAGGGCACAAGATCTCATTACAGGTGGTTGTGAGCCACCATGTGGTTGCTGGGAATTGAACTCAGGACCTCTGGAAGAACAGTCAGTGCTCTCAACCTCTGAGCCATCTCTCCAGCCCCAGTCATGATGTTTTATCACAGCAACAGGAACCCTAAGACAGCACCCTTTTTTTTTTGTTTTTCGAGACAGAGTTTCTCTGTGGCTTTGAAGCCTGTCCTAGAACTAGCTCTTGTAGACCAGGCTGGCCTCGAACTCACAAAAATCCACCTGCCTCTGCCTCCCGAGTGCTGGCATGTGCCACCACCACCTAGCTAACATCACCCTTTACTTTTGGGGGTATAGGTGTCCAAAGTTAGTTAAATAAACTCTCCTCTCTTACTGAATGTTCCTACCCTTCCTCAGATCCTGTCTTTATACCAGATCACCCCTCTGCCTTTAGTGCACAGACATGACTTTTCAAAAGGGGTCTGGGAAGATTGAGCTCAGGGCCTTAGACCTAAATATGAGCTCTGCCACTGAGCTACAGCCCCGACAGCAGCGCCTAGCCACCTGGCTGTCTGCCTTCTCTCCCCAGGCACAACTCTGAGACTGGATCTAACTCTACATCCCAGGCTGGCCTCAAATCTGCAGACCCACCACACTAACCTAGGGACTGACTGATGCGCTAGTGAGGCGTGAAGCTCGGGCCTTGCACAAGCTAAGCAAGTGTTCTACCACATTCCCAGCCCTCAGACCACTTTTAACCTGGTCCCTTATCCTGCCTCTTCTTCCAGGATGAGTTTGCTGCCTCTTATGATTCGGCATGCCTCTTCTGTCTGTTCCCTGGCCTGAAATGACCCATCTCCTTTCTTTTGGCATTTCAAAACCCTAGGTTTACTTCTTCCACAGGGCTGGAGTCCCCAAAGGGGCACTGAACCTCTTCCTACTTCCTAGTCTCGTCATGCCTTTGTACACATCGTCCCTTCTAGCTGGCATGCTTTTCCACCTCTTGCGAACACTGACCTGTCTCCAGGAGTCAAGACTTCTCCCTG